TATCGTTGACACATTATTGCATAGAGGATACAAACTGCAGAGTACGTAGTCACGAAATGGAGGGCAAACAGAGAAGAATGTCATATGACGCTACTTTCAAACTTAAAGTAATTCTTTCTGCTTAAAAAAATGGCAATAGAAAGGCAGGGAGAGAGTTTCAACGTAATCTGAGAGCAATGTTCGCTTGTGGCGGCAACAGAAATTGGCACTGTTTGCAACTAAAGCTAGTAGAAAGAAATTCACTGGCCCTCGCAAAGGAAGACACCCTAAAATTCAAGAAAAGTTTTGGAATTTGTACGTGAAAGGAGGAGAATGGACAACCTGTGACTAGTGACACCATGAGAATAAAGCAAAGAGGAGTCTGAAGTTCTTGGAATACCGAAACAAGAGTTTAAGGTAGCGTGGATGGATTACAGTAGTAGTTGTAGGGTTTACATTTATTTTAACTAACATTTATTTTAAGTTTAAACTATCTTCCTGTCAATCCTTACTTTCCCCTGGAACTGCCAATGCCAGAATATGTAAATTGAGTAGAACGCAAGCATTCAAATTATCAGCGGAAGTAGTATGATTTAAATGAAGGAACAAGTTCGTGAGAGAGAGTTTATTCTTACTTGCGAGCGCGGAGGTAGTTATAGAGATTTGAAAAACCCCGCGTTGCGGCTATGTGCTGGCGGGAAGTAGTTGCATTGTTCCAGTGCGCTTCAAGTCTGCTGAATAGCAGCCGTATTGTAAAACGCGGGTGAGTTAGTTATTTGAGAGCGCCTCGTAGTTAGAATATTGTCTTTAATTCTTTTCAGGTTTTATTTTATTTTGACTGCCGAGTTGGCAACGTTGTAAGCGCAAGAGGAACGCCAATTGTAAATTAGTCTTGAATAAAAAGGGACTTAAACCCTTATAAGACTCTGTGTTTATACAAGCTTCACAGTACTCTTGGTTGCGTGCTAGTAGAGGCGCGCAACGTTATATAGTAATAACAAAATTGTTTCAGAAACAATTGCCCCACTAATAGGTTAATTCTATGTTCTGCTACTTTATGTATAAATCCATTGTTGTATAAAATATGGTATCTAAATTTAAATAAAATTATCATACCATTAATTGATAGTTTATATACAAATCATTGTTGTATAAAATAAGATTCATAAATTCCTCATATCATGATGCGCATTACATTCGCCGACAAACAATTTTTTTATTATTTAAAGTTTTAAAATGGGGATGCGCATTAGATTCGATGGCGCATTAGATTCGCATAAATACGGTATATTTTCTTAAAGCGACATTTTTAGTAGTTGAATGTATAAATATCTTAACAACTTTTCGAATTTTCTTAGCTATAGGAAGCTATAATGTATTTACTCCTCTCTTTCCATATGCCTTCATAGTGTAATTGGAAGCATACTTGACTCGTATTCGAGAGGTCTAGGGTTCCAGTCAGCATTCCGCTTTTTTCACATCTCGTGCTTCAAAGTAGCTTAATGATTTTCCCAGTGGCTCCTGAACTAAAAGAGGTTGTGGATATTTCGTCACCACTAGAATTTGGCGACTGGATCATCTAATCTCCATTCTCCTTTTAAAAGGAGGATATATAAGAACGTTTCTTCCACCTTTTCCCTTTCCTTCGTGATGTAACTGGAAGCATAATTGACGCGTATTAAAGAGGTCCAGGGCTCTAGTCCCGGCGAGGGAAATGCACATTTTTCATGTCTCCTGCTTCAAAAAATTCTAATGACTCTACAAAACAATCCTTGGTACGTTAATATTTCGTCCTTGTTAACATTACCTTCTTCATATCTAAGTAAGGTACTTTCAACAATTCTATTACTATTTTCTTCATTGCCTCTCTTCTCGAAGCTAGAATCAGAAGTTTCTAAACCCAAAGTATTTTGCTTCTCCTCCTTTGATTTTGTTGATATAGCAAAACTTTTCCCATCACCGTTACTCCATCAGTAGTTATGCAGACAGCATCTCTTTTCAGAGATAATCCATGTTCCTCCAATTTATAGCTAACTACTTCTACAGATTTTGCAGTTGATGTACTTCCTGAGACAAGCGTGAATCCTATATTCCAAATTCTCTTTTCTAAACGAATATTTAGATTTAAGTAACGTTTATTTCGTACAGTTGTCCGCATTCCTCAAATGTGAGACTAAATTTTGTACCATTTAATTTTAATTCTGCTAATTAGCTTTTTAGAAAACTGCGAATACTCTTACTACAGTTTATAATAGTTTTTCTTGTAGTATTAACAGACTTGGTATATTTTTTTAAACTTCTTTCAATTAATCACGTTTCTCTATGCAACTGAAGTACAAAACACTCTGAACGGCAAACCATCTAATGCTGTCATTCTAGATGAAACTATTATTATTATCTGTATCAGCGACAAACAAAATATTTATTATTATAGTTAATACCGAAAATAACTCTATTTTATCTTAGCAAATACCGGTTTCACGAAATAGCAAAATGCACGAAATATGGTATTCGGTACATTCGTGTACCAGTATTCCAGCCACTAATCAGTAGGCTTTATGTACAAAAGTTTTACGTTATGGACACGAGATGAAAATAGTTCTAAAAATTGTAAATTCTATTCGTGCCACATTCACAATAGATTGTTCAAAATACTGACGCTGAGTATGAAACTTACTTTTATCTTAAATTAGATGGCTTAGTAAGTGAAATGTCCTATAAGAATTTTTAGAGCTTCCTCCAGAGATAAAACAATTTTCAAAATTCAGAAACGAAACTTAGTAAAAACTTAATGATTAAAGCTGTTATCTGATTTAATGTTTCTTACAGACAGGGCAAACAACTTACATACATAAACTAAATCTCGAACTTCAAAGAAAAAGACTATTATTAAGAGGATGTATAAACGCATTTAAATCACAATTAAATTCGTGATTTTCCCAAATAAAAGAATGTAACTCTTGCCACCTTACAAATCTGGAGAATTACATCAAGAAATGTAAGAAAACTGAAGCAGCTGAATATTCTGAAAATTTCATTGAGTTTAAAAGTAATTTCGAAATTAGATTTTCTAATTTTCGTAAAATTCAGTTAGTTGCTTCCCTAATTTCAAATCTTTTGTTGAAACTAATATTTCCGAAATATCGTAAGTGAATGCAAATATATTAAATAAAAAAAATCTACTGAACTATAAATGGAAATAATTGATTTTCAGTGTGATCTACAATTTAAAACAAGGGAACCAAACAAATCGTTTAATATTCGTAGATGGAGGGGGGGGGGAATCACTCTTAAAAGAAACTTTTCAAAGGTTACATTTCTAATTTAAATCAATTTACCTTTGGAAAGGGTTTTTTTTAAATAATGAACTTAAATTGGGAGGGGGAGCTCTTAAAATACCATCCCCCAGAACGTACTGTCGAGAGGCTGTTGATAGGTGAAGAGGAGTTGGAGATCCTTCGGTTCTGTCACCCGTGTTTCTATGTCAGTACTGCTACGGAGTTAAGGTTATTTATCAAATCTGAATAAATTTTAGGATGTATAATAATCTTTTAAAGTGCACGTTTCAAGGCTCGGTTAAATTAATGAACTCTTTTAACTGAGATACATGCATTAGAATGCTTTGCCCTTTTGCAAATCTTTACCTAAAGGATGGATCCTACGTAACGGGGGGGGGTGGCTCGTAACATGTCATTTTTTCTCGAATCGATTAATTACTTTAGGCAAAACATCAATAGGGTATCTGTCTAAGTTTTGCCAAAATTTTAACTAAAACCACCTCAAGGGATGAAATCCGAAGGTCTCTCGTTTTTCTTCCCTTTTCCCTAGCTTCTGGAGAAAACCTTTCGGATCAATAAATTTTTATGTCCATTCCACAAAGGCACTGAGATAAAAATGTTCGGTAGTTTGGGATTTAAACTCAGACTTAACGGCCTGTTCAAACTCTAGTAATCACCATACCACTCTGGCGTGGCATATCAAGAGCTACAATTATAATTTTTAAACCTCAGTTATATAGTTATTAAAATAGAAAAAGAGTGTCTGAATGACAAGAAACATTTTGCATATTATTATGTATATTTTTTATATACAAATGAATAATTCTTGTGTTCTAGCTTTGTGTTCTGAGCAGTAAATTCTTAGGATTTTTATACTTTTTGCAATTTTATTTTTAGTTAAAAAAAACCGATAATTTTCTACTGATTTCTAATTCCTTCCTACAAATTATACAGTTATAAATGACATTAATTTTAATGCAATTAAATTAATTAAATTTTTCAAATGATTTTTTTGCAATTTAAATGAAATGGGAAAAAGAGAAAGTGATCTTTACAGTAATGTAAAAGCTTTTCATTCGAATTAACTGCTCAACGACTGTAGTTGCACTTTTGATGCAATGTATAGCGAGTGTTACTGAGTTATATTTCAGTTTTTAGCTTCAGAAAATAACAGAAAGGATACAATATTATTTGAGAAAAAGAATCGGGCATAAACTACAAGTTTATTTTGCTGTGAATATAAATAATTCCTTATCTTTTAGAATATCCTTTCCTTCTTTTACTTACTTTGTAGTTCAGATTCTAGAAGAAAGGGCTATTTTGGTAAGTAATTTAATTTTAAAAATGGAAATTATTGAAATCTAGATATTCTGCACAAGGAGAGGGGGAAAAAGTACAATGTTTTAGGGGGGGGAAGAAGTAAATAATTAATGATCTGACTAGAGTTTACGAAAAACTGGCAGCTCAAGAATTACACATGGTGATGAAATTTAAATGAAGCAAGATTCGAAAAGGCGTTTTTGAACATTATTATTATTATTATGATCCTTAGCAAATATTTTCTATTAAGTGAATATCATTGATTTTATTCAGGAAATATATTTTACTAAAATAGACTATTGGCTCAGCCGGCTTCCTTCATGGTTGGGAAAGCCAGTTTTAGCCCACCTACTTTCAACGTCCAATATCCGGTCTGGTTTCACTTCCATTTCATTCTGAATCTAGTGATTCATCATTCTTTAGTATACTGTGTGATAGTTACACAAACAGTTTTCCGCCTATGTTTCAACTTCATTGCGCACTGCATTTCATTTTCTAACTCACTTGGATTAATTCTTACAACTGGCGAATTTTGTTGAAGTTTTTCCAAAATGAGGTATCCTTTTCTTATATTTTATGCTAAAAGCTGTATATTGGTTTGATAAAGTATATATTCAACCAAGGCCTTTTGCCACCCGACGTGGGAGCACCGGCTCCGGCCCTCACACTTTTTTCAACAGAAGAATTCAATTATTATTGCAGTTTGCTTTTAAGCATTCAGAAACTGCTTGCATTCTCAGGAAGCGTTATAATGAAAGCAAAATAATTCAGTTGTAAATTTACCTCATATATTAATATAATGAGATTTTTTAAGATCGTTTTTCGAGTTGTAAGAGAAAGTATAGTAGTTAAAAGTTAATTTAGTAACCAAGGAATTTATGTAAGACTAGCGAGAATCAATATTACCAAACTGCAGACTTACTTACTGGAATCTGAACCAACTTGTAATGTAAGAAACATTTCCTCAAGGTATGTGAAAAATAAAATTCTAGCTAAAAGAAAATTATTTAGGTAGAAAACTTACTAAAAACATTAATCAGCAGTGAACGAAATAAAAACAGCCAATAACATCAGAAGAGACAGCGTAAAAGTTTTTATAACGCTCCACAATCAATTTATTAAGTTTATGATTCGGTATTGGTAGAACTAAAAATTGAAGAACGACCCTGCTTAGCGAATATAACTTACCTCAGTTCCAACAATTCTGTTGGGTGTAGGAACTAATAGTTATTCACATATACGTAGATTGTAGTACACACTGATAATTTGGAAATGGTAGATTTCATCGGTTATTTAACTGATTTGTAGAGTCATTAAGATTGCCGAAGCAGGAAACATGAAAAAATGTGCAATGACCTCTCCGGAATTTGAACTTTGAACCTTTCGATGCTAGCCAGGCGTGCTTCTAAGTGCACCACGAAGGCACGCGGTAAGGAAGGCGAAAATATTTTACATTCTTCAGCGCCTAAAGGGCGACTGGGAAGACGGCGACGAATTATCATTCATCATATTTTTAGTTCGGACGCCACTTCTGAGTAATTAGGTCAGTCTATAAGGTATTTCTCCCGCCTTCTTAGCATGCCTTCGTAGTGTAGTGGTCAGCACGCTCGGCGCGTATTCGAGAGGTCCGTGGTTCGAGTCCCGGCGAGGACATTGCTCATTTTTCAAGTCTCATGCTTCCAAAAAATCCTAATGTCTCTACAAGTCTAAGCATTAAACATGAAAAATATGGAATGTCCTCGGCGGGGTTCGAACTCCGGACCTTCTGACTGATAGCTGGACGTGTTTCCAATTACATTACGAAGGCGCGGAAAGAAGGGAGAAAATTCCTTAAAATGTAGTCACAAGATTACTATCTGGATTGTATCGGCTAACTATCAAATCAAATCTTTAAATCAGCCAAATCAAATCTTTCAAAATTTTGTCACGTGACGAGGTTTCTGGCATCGCAACATTTATAGATAGCTCGATATTCAGATGGTAAGAGATCTGTTACTCATCTGAAGCTTATAAGATCTTTCACCTACGAGGAAAATTTTAAATGAATTCTTCTATGCCCATCCTTCAACCTTATTATTAAAGTAGTAAACTTTCTTAAAAATAGGCATTTTTATTGTCAGGAATTAAGAATTTCAGTTGAGAATGGTTCATAAGCCGGCTCTTTATATCGAAAACGAAATTTGTGCAATTTGAGTTTTACTTCGGAGCTTTAAAAATAAGATTCTTAGAGGGAAAAACTTACATACGATCTTAAATCTGAGATTTTGTGTAGTACTGTGCACATATGCAACGTGTCCACAGTCCTTACCGGGCCGTTATTTTCGCAAGCCTTGGTTAATGAGTTAAAAATGAATTAAAGGATGCAAAGATTCATGTTTTGGCATTAATAAAGACATCAATTTTATAAATATTACGCAATACAATTTTTTATACGTTCTTCCGATCCCTATACTTGGGAACATAAAAATAAAACACAAAAAAGTTGACGAAAAGTCCGATTAAGAACAGACCGATATGTCTGATATTTAAATCAAGAATGATATTCGGATATGGCACACAAATTTAAGAGCGAAATGCACGCAACTAAAAATAAAATATTATAGGAAAAAGTTTCTGATGTGAGATTAAGTGACTAACATTCCTACTATGAAAAATATTGATCAATACTTATATATGATATTAATAATAACTTATACATAAGATTGAATTCAAAAGGAAGAGAAATTCTGATTATCCTTTTTTAACGAAAAAGGTGTATGGTGAGGAATATTTAAGAAGTGTTAAAAGTAAAAGTGAAAATTTGGAGTAGTCAAAGATAGCAATCTAGGCTTTTCGTACGGAAAGTTAAGCTTGTTAAACAGTGGTGTAATTATTAAAACAGTGGTGTAATTATTAAAATTAAAGGAGATGTGATAAAATAATAAATCAATCACTCCATTTAATGTTTGAAATAGAACTTGTCAAGGAGTGAGCATTTAAAACATTCAAGCGAGTTGATTAATGAGTGCTGAATGACATGAAATTAATTTCTTTTTTGAAAAATTGTTTCTCAGATACTCTTACGTTCTTGTGCGTACGTACCACTCTCTGAATTAAAATTATAGAAAAAATAAAAACTATATTAAAGTAAAAATATGCAAAATAAACAAAATAAAATTCAAACACATAAATTACAAGAATATAGCATAGTGAAAGAGCAGAAAAACTAGCAGAGATCCCATTTACAGAATCCCAGTTCTGAGGAAAAAAATGGCAGGCTTCAGTATGGGCTTGTAGCCAACTAATAAAATTATTCGAATTACTTCGAAATAGAAACTATTTGTACTCTAGTTATATTTTTGCAGGTTTAAGAGATTGTGATTAAAAAAAAATAATAAAATTTCATAACATTCATAACGCGTTTTTTAAATTTAAATGCTTAAAAATTATTTGAGTGAAATTTCTCTCGGCATCCCAAATGTAATAGACACCACTAAATAGCAAAACAGTATCATCGAATGGGATTTTAAGGGGAAAAATCAACCTTCGTTTATTCTAATTTACTCGCTAACCGATCTCCAATGCTAAATATCACATCAATTTTTGTCAAACGGGCGTCAAACTTTTTTTTTTTTAGTAATGAGTACAAAATTTTCTAAATGTAAGTACAAGAACCTTATAAGTTAAACTTCGCAACATTTAACCTAAGTGACGTCTTTTCTATAGAGTCTGATGCCTTTCTTTTAATTGAATGTTAAAAATAACAACCCATGAACATGTTAAAAATAACAAACCAGCTGCAAAATGTAACACATTTTTGAAGCTGGAAACATATGTCTACGATCAACTGTTGCGGAAAAAAGAGGCCGTATAAGAACTTTTACTTTTGTAGCCACAATGTATGTATCACTGGAAATGTGTTTTATTGTTTATTTATTATAGTAGAATTCAAGTACCGTGAGTTTCATTCATTTTAACTTAAAATGTATAGCATTTAAAAACTATTATGTAACTGAATTGCACTTCGAAAATGGACTTAATATTAATTAGCAAATCAAAAACGTTTCCGAGACCAGAAATTAAACTGAGCTCAGACTCAACTCACTGACAGCTGAAGAGTAGTACTGACGAGATTCTGATTTTTCATACGAATGCGACTATGACAACATTTAATTTAGTTTGAGTAAATCTTCTAAACCGATGGTTTATTACAAGAACAGTTTTGCTTTTGAGAAGAAAACATGGATCTCAGCTGCCAAGTATCAGTCTTGTAATATCCAGGAAACAGGATATCTTATTAATTTCTAGGATATCTTCCCAGGATTTCCAGGATATCTCATTAATTTAATTAGTGACTTTATTTCTGTCACTTTCCTGTAAGAAAGAGTACATAATTAACGAATTAAATACCATCTGCTGTAGCATGTAACTAGCTGTTTCATTACTGAATAAAATAAGAAAATGTCAGACAGTGGAGAGAGACAGGAGAGTACTCCATTACTCAGAGAAAAGAGTAAGGTTGTGCAAACACGATTCGAGCTTCAAGAGGGAAACTACAGGTAAATGCTCTTAAAAACACAATCTCAAGTTTATTTCTTAAAGCATAATTTGTTTTGGAAGGAGGAGGAGGAATGTACTGATTCTTCGGATTTTTTTCCCTCCCTACCTGAAAGGTGTATGATTTTCCTGGTATTTAGGTTTCATAATAATTCAGATATTTATTAGTTATTGATTTCTTGCACTTCTAATTTATGATTTCATTTTGTGCAAAGATGTTAAGTTAAAGATTGTCTAATTTAAATCTTAGATGCAAAGCGCAAATATAAGCTTTTTTTTTTTTTTGAGGAGGGGGTTCTTGTAACCGAACAAATTAAGATTATTTATTTATTTATTTATTTATTTGCAAAATTAAAGAAATATTCTATGACGCACAACAGTTATAAGATTACAGAGATTTGAAAACTATGGGGTTTTTAATAGGATGGATTTTGTATCTTAGACGAAGTTCCTTAAGAGGAATGCATGCTTAAGAAAATGCACTGACTTTTGCAATAACACAATAATAGTAAATTACTTAACACAAGTTAAACTTATGGATTTTGGAGTATTTAAATATTCATCCTCCCTTATGTATTACGGAGAATTTCCCTTCCCCTGTGTTAATCTTCATTATTTTATACAACTATCTGGGGTATCAAACGGTTAGGTATTTCATAATTTTGGTTAAAAACCAGACTGTTTTAGATATGAATTTCAAAGCGAAGATTTAAACTTCGTTAAATACAGTTTGCATTATACACGATGCTTGTTCTTCCCTCGTGGTTCTGCCTCATGAATAGCCGAGTAGGTAAGACCGTCGAATTTTGCATTGTGGGCGCCAAGATGTCATCACACGCATTGCCTCATCAATTGGACAGAACACACAACTGCCTGCTTCACTCCGGCGTCACGTGCGGGCACTTGCGCATGCGCACAACCATGTCGGATACTGCATTTGCGTCCTTAGATACCTCACTACGTTATGCCAAAGCGGCATATTCAAATTTCAACCGGTTTGGTTGTTACGACATTTCGTAT